AGGAAAAGGGCCTTTGTTACGAGATGGTGTTAAGTTTGGCCACACGATTGTCTGAGTAATGAACTCAGTGAAACTGCTGAAGATGTTTCCAGACAGAATGTCCAAGTGCCTGGCTTCTTCTAAAATTTCAGAGGAGAGAGATAAGCTGAAAAGAAACATTTCAGTTTTCAAATAAAATTTGAAAGAATAATAAAAGAGCCACTACTTACTGGCTTTGAAAATAAAACTGCTTCTCATTCCTATTCTCTCTAGATGGCAAAAAGTTCTCAAATTAAGAAATGGCTTCTGAGAAAAGTTAAAATAACAAGTGAGGTGATGAACGTGTTAATCAGTTCAATGTAAGCATTTCACATTGTATAACAGATCTGTACACTGAACTCCATCAATGCATCAATGTACACAGTTATGCTTTACTCATTTATTTTTTTGAGACAGAGTCTCACTCTGTTGCCCTCAGTAGAGTGCTGTGCTATCACAACTCACAGCAACCTCCAACTCCTGGGCCCATGCCATTCTCTTGCCTCAGCCTTCTGAGTAGCTGGGACTATAGGCACCTGCCACAATGCCCGGCCATTTTTGTTGCAGTAGCAGCTGCTGTTTTAGCTGGCCCGGGGGCTGGGTTTGAACCCACCACCCTTGGTATATGGTACGGGTCCCCTACCCACTGAGCCACAGGTGCCGCCCCAGTTATGCTTTAATAAGGGGAAAAAAAGAGAAAGAGAACAGCTGTTTCCCAATAAGGAGCTACCCAATTTTCTTGTCTGATGCTCAGTCGTGAACTAGTCATAATGTTAGAAGGATTCTATCTATGCTAGCTGTCTATCTCAGTCAAGTGGTACCATCTACAATCAGAAGATGGGGTTGGAGGAAAATACACTGGGAAGATTCTCAGCCCTGAACTCCCCAGATTTTCCAAAGTGTACTTCAGCTGGCATTACCAAAAATGGTGAAATACAAATTTATTTATTTACTTTATTCATTATTTTTTATTTTCAGGTTGAATCTTACCACTTTGTCGCCCTTGGCAGAGTGCTGTGGCATCGTAGCTCACAGCAACCTCAAACTCTTGGGCTCAGCGATCCTCCCTCTTGGCTCGGTTTTTCTTTTCTTTTTGCAGTTTTGGCTCGGGCCAGTCTTGAACCCGCCAGTCCGGGCATATGGGGTCAGCGCCCTACTCCTTGAGCCACAGGCACTGCCAGTTTTTCATTTTTTTAAAATAGAGACAGGGTCTCACTCTTCCTCAGGTTGGTGTCGAAGCCATGAGCTCAGGACATCCACCTGCCTCAGCCTCTCAGATTGCTATGATTACAGGCATGAAACCACTGAGTCCAGCCAATTTATTTATTTTTTAAAATCTCAGATTAATAGGAGGGCACGAACGATTGAGTCACAATATTTGTGTTTGTCAGTTGGAGTCTCTGTGGTAGTTGTGTCCTGCATCCAGGAGCTGTGCCATATACCCTTACATTGTGTCTGTTAAGGGGGAGAACACTGGTCCCCCTCCCTTGTCCCTTCTCCCTCCTCCCTTCCACTCTCCCCCAACTTGAATTAAATTGAATTTTTCTCTTGTGTGGGTGTGTATTAGTTCATCTACTGGCTTCATAATAGTATTGAATACACTGGATCCTTGCTTTTCCATTCTTGTGATACTCTACTAAAGAGAATGTTCTCCAGCTCTATCCAGGTTAATACAAAGAGGCAAAATCTTTAAATATGAATTTATTGTTACTTTTCTAAAAATCCCTATGGAGCAGGTTTTAAATGTGGAGAGATTTGAAGATCTCTGCATTTTAGTTATGTACTAGCTCTAGCTTTCAGAACTATAGGTAAGCTAGACGTGACTGTGTGAACTTTGTCCAAGTTTCCCCCAGGTATGAGGATGTTTTGGAAAGCCGTGGGGAATCTGAATTTTGAAGCAGAAATTCAAATCACAGGAGTCTTACCTGTAGGGCTTAGGGGACCCAGGGGAGCCTGAGGGGCCTGAGGGGGTTAGTGGTAGGATAGGAGCAAGAGAGAACTTGTTTCTCAAAGTGATCTGAGGCAGTAGCTCTTAATGCTAAGAGAAATACAGGTGACCACCAGGGTAGACAAGGTGAAGAAGAAAATGGGAGAAAAGACAGTGAACCTGGTAATTAGGTCAAGGCAGGATGGGAAGAGGTAAGGAATGTGCCTCTCAGGACAGCCTGCAAATAAGACAACTTTTCTTTTTTTACATGGTGCCTGGCATTTATGGTAGGACTGGGCCCAGTGGCTTCAAAGGACCACAGTCTGTACAAAAAGAAAAAGTTGTGAAGAATATTTTAGGGGGTGGTGTGCGGGTGCCAACAGTAGTTGTTACAGTGGGGGGCAGACATACAGCTGCTGACACTATTTAGTTTCAAATAAGAATTGAAACTTTCGGCTCGGTGCCTGTGGCTCAAGTGGCTAAGTTGCCAGGCACATACACCTAAGGTGGTGGGTTCGAATCCAGCCCGGCCCGCCAAACAACAATGATGGCTGCAACCAAAAAAATAGCTGGGTGTTGTGGCGGGCGCCTGTGGTCCCAGCTACTTGGGAGGCGGAGGCAGGAGACTCGCTTGAGCCCAGGAGTTGGAGGTTGCTGTGAACTGTGATGCCACAGCACTCTACCCAAGGGGACAGCTTGAGGCTCTGTCTCAAAAAAAAAAAAAAAAGAATTGCAAGTTTCATTTGTCAAAGCTTCCTTGATATACGTTGAGGAAGCAGACTGATGATAGATTTAGTAATCTTACTGCTGTAAGGTGCTCCTTGGTGCCCTGGGGAAGACGACATACAGCAATCCTGATGAATGTGTTACAAAATATCACATCCTTGAAGTAATCTACCAATTTGTGCTTATTGTTCATTTAGTTAAATATGTATACTGTATTTTAGTGTTTAGGTGTGAAGCAAAAAATATTAAGTTGGGGATTGCAGGATTTGGGATGTATTTGTCCTCTCCTGAAGAATGAGTGACATTCTTTCTTGAAATTAAGAACAAAAAGCCGGCTCGGCACCTGTGGCTCAAGCGGCTAAGGCGCCAGCCACATACACCTAAGGTGGCGGGTTTGAATCCCCAGCCCGGCCCGCCAAACAACAATGATGGCTGCAACCAAAAAATGGCTGGGCGTTGTGGTGGGCGCCTGTGGTCCCAGCTACTTGGGAGACTGATGCAGGAGACTCGCTTGAGCCCAGGAGTTGGAGGTTGCTGTGAACTGTGATGTCATGGCACTCTACCCAAGGGGGATAGCTTGAGGCTCCGTCTCAAAAACAAAAACAAAAACAAAAAGCCAATGACTAATAGGAGTTAGGGAGGAAAACAGGTGTGAAAAATACTGAAAAGGAAGAAGAGTAGAAAAAGAAAAGAGAAAAAAAAGCACGACTGAGGAAGAGTTAGAGAGGAGATAGGGCAGTGTTGAGTATTAGAGCTGAACCAGATAGTATTGGCATAAGAAAAACAGCATGTTGTATACATGACAAAACGTGTAGAAGGAGATTCTGTCTTCATGGTTAACATCTTTGACCATTTCAGCTATTATGTCAGGCCAAAAAAAAAAAAAAAAAATCAGTTAAAACAGTTGTGGATATATACACAGTTTGAACATTTAAAAATGCAAGCTTCCTTGGGACTAGATCACTTGGCTTCTTCTTGATTGGAGGTGAGAATAAGGTATGTAGCCAATCAGAATGAAAGCAGGTTGGCAAGAAACCAATGGGAAGGAGGCATGGAAATAACTCTTGGCATGATATCAGTTGGCAGTGCTGTACCTGGCAAACAGACAGCAGAGCCGAGCATTGTTCATTGGGATTTTGAGTCTTCATCTTGATTTCAACTCTGAACCAGCGAAGGCTTGGAGGAACATATTTCTGGTCTTGGTAGTTGGAGAAGAGCTTTATCTGGGGGTTGTTAACGTGGGAATAGCAGGGTTTGAAGATGCCAAGGACCTGAAGGGCTACTTGAGGGACAGGTGAAGTGTTTTGAATCTCGCTTCTGGCCCATCCCTCTCTTTTAAATCAGAATAATAGTGACCTGTAGAAAAAAGAAGTGCAAAACAAGGGACCAAAGATAAGATTTAAATATATCAGGACTTCTAGGTCAAGGGTAGCTGCAAGGAAAAACAGAACAAGTCAGGACCACTGGGCAGGCTACAACCGGCACAGGGCATCAGCTGAGGTGGGCTGTTGGGTTGAAACTAGCCTGTTAGTTGCATGCCAAGGCATGTGCCCTATTTCAGGTTTCATTGCTCTGAGAAAGGGAGGCTTTTGAAAATTTCCTTTAAGGTACCATATGATCAAACCCTAACCTTGGTCATTTCCTTTGTGTTTAGGTTATTCACCCTCATCCTGACCTTAATTGGTATGACTCCACTTTGACTGTGTTTCCCATTTGCCATTTTGGATTGGAGGGGGCTGAGAGAAGGAAAAGGGGTAGAGGGGCTGGAGTAGTAAAACGGAATTCTGGAAGGATTTGTACTGACAGAGAAGGAGGAGTGTAACATTTATTCTTGCTCCTTCCACCACCAAGAGTTCAGTCCATCAAATATCTATCTTGTGCCACAAAATGCACGCACAGCCGAAATTCAGTTAATGTTAATATATTAATTTCAGAGTAATATTAATATTCAGCCTTGGTTTTTGAGAAACTCACTGTCCAATGGGGAAGGCAAGCACATTACCATATCATTACAATGCTAAATGCAACAACTGATACACCCCCTCCCCCATACACATAATATAGCAGTACAAGGAACACTAACACTGATTTTAGCGTTCCTATAAAGTGTTCTTGGAGTAAGAGGAATTAATGTGTGCTCTGTGACAAGAAGAGACAAGCTCAGATCTGAGCGTGGTACAATCTCAGGTAGAGAGAGTGTGGATGAATCAGGTCCCGGCAGGTTTCATGTTCTTTCTGCACATTATTACAGGTTAGTCTGCAAAAGTGAAAGTGTCAGTAGTAACACATATGAATCCATCAAGTTATGGCTGGAAAAGCAGTGGCAAAAATGAAAGCTTCCTTCTGGGCATCAGAAGATAACAAACCTGATTTACTCTGTGGAAAGCAAGCTCACTATGTGGTCTATCCAGAATATTTCACAATGCTCCTGTGTATGACGGTTGTTTGGGGAGGTAAGTGGTTGTTTTTGAAACTTCTCTCTCCTCTACCCTTTTGCACCTCAGTGCAAAAAGTGATCACAACTACATCAAAAGAAGCAGCTCAAATGAAATTGTAAGATGTAAGATGTGAATGAATGCTGTCAGGCAATTTAAT